CTGCAGTAAGGTGGAACAGTGCCACGGGCTCCACCAGCTCTCTGCCAGGCACAGTGAGGTGCTGTATGGCTTGGAGGTCCCCAGACATAGTTAGGTACCATATGGCCAGGACATCTCAGGACTGTGAGGCTTGTGGGCAGGTATAGGCTCTAGGCAGCAAGTCCCGACTTCCCATGGTTTCTACCTATGAAATGGGAGTAGACCTCTCCTAGATGTTTCTTCCCATGCTGGGGCACATGAGATGTATGCCACCCCAGCACGTACACAGTCCTTTTCAGCACTTGCAGTAAATGACCCAACTCTCTTTGAGGCAGCAGTAGTGCTGCAAATTTTAAATTAAAAAAATGCCCCTGCATGCTTCCCAGTCCCTAAGTGCTGATGTCTGAGTATGCTGGGTGGCATTCCAGGAAGGATGGGAGCTCTGGACATGGACTTCAGGTAGCCATTGGCACCAAGGTGTGTATCCTCAGGATGTGGTTATGGGCACCTGACAGAACATCAGGAAACGCCTGCCCAGGTCTGCCTCTGCTGCTTCAGTGTTGACTAGGCACATTAAAAGTTTCATTGTGGTAAGGAATGTTCTCTCTTTTCACCATTTTGGTAAACTTGTGCACCCTCTCTGGGTTTGTATGATGCATGTCTGAAAAGGAAACAGGAAGGAGCTGCAAATGGAAATTTCAAGCTGTCGGCAACAGAGAAAACCCCAACCAACGTCCCATAGTATGGGTGGAAAACCCAGACTGTGCACTTCAGCTTCAAGTGACAAAAGACACTGAATTTTACATAGTCTTCTGAAATCAGCAAGTACTGGAGTTAGAGTGAAAGAAGTGACTTTTTCTTGGCTGTACCTGCTCCAGGAGAGGGCCTGGGTTCAAAAATTCCCTGACACACCTCTGCCCTTTGCCTCTGAGTGCTTCCTGAAATGCTGTTCCTCAGGCTGGCCACCCTTTTTTTTTTTGGGGTGGCTGTGGGAGAGGAGCTTACCATATATAAAAGCTCTGCTGTGCCACTTGCTGATGGGGGACAGAACACACCCTAGTCTGTTTTGTTCACAAGATAAATCACAGTGTCACATTTGTCTTTAGTGTCACAGAGATGTACCAGAAAAAGTTTTAGCCTGTAACTGTATAATGCACGTCCAGCTGCCATGAAAATGCATGTGAATAGAGCAGGGGAAAAGATCTATGATCTGAAAGCCTAACACTTGTATTGTCAAATATTTCTGTATGTACACCTTCACCCCAATCCAGAATGGATCTCCTTGAGCAGATAGTTCATGGAGGAGTACTGTTATAGAGTTTATGCTGATCTCTGCTTAATTAGTTTCTCACCCAAGGACTGATGAGTATTTGATCTTGTCACAGGAAAGAGCCACTCCCACCAGCTATATAATTTAACAAATCCACAAACCAAACAAGTTGCCATCCTGCAAAACCCTCATACCTATGGGATTCCTATTCTCCACGAGGTGTGGTTTTCAGGTGGGCACTATTGGATTTTTGGATTACTTTGCTAGGCTGAAGGAGATATGTATCTGTAGAATGATATAAACCCACCCGAGAATAAAAAAATTAGCACTGAAAGTGTGCAAGTTTTGCAGACTTGCAGTGTCCCACAGAGGTAGTCGTTGTGCTAGTCTGCATTAATGCAGGTAAAGGCTTCTTTCTGTGCCTGTGTGAAGACAAGTGAAAACGTGATTGTCCCATAGCATTGATGGTTTGTAAATATAGTTTTCTAGAGCTGTGTACTCCAACCCTAGACTTGGTGGAATGGAGAGAGGATAATTTTCCTTGAAAAGACTGGATAGCTGAATAGGCAATCTTTTAAACAGAATGAAAGCAAGAGCAAGGGGTGCTGGTCATCAAAGTGCTTTGCAGTTGGCTAAAAGAGCACAAGCATTTTCAGTCCATGGGGAGAGGAAAGGAGAGAGAGGGCAAGTCCAGAATATGTGAAGGTAGGAGCTTCATACAGCCTTGGTGCCAGGCTTGTTTTCTGTGCTAGTGGCCCAGAGAACTGGTAAAACTCAACCAGGATAGTAAAGGCTGTAATCCCAATTCATCATTTATAGCCTCCTTGTAGACGTGTCTACGCCAGCCTTCTCAGATACAGCGAGCTGCTGCATTTCACAATCATGGGAAGGGCTTCCCAGCTGCACGCTCCGAACGTTTTGAAGTGACACATGGTGCATTATATTAACTTGGTTCAGACAATCAGCTTTAAACATCTGAATCTGATTTCTTGATGCTAATTCCTCTTGCTCAATCTTTATTTCAGCTGTGTGGAATTCTCAGACCTTTCTGACCCTGACTTATTGTTTCCTGATGTTTTATTGCTAAGTCATTGAGGTTTCAGGGAGGCTGATGTTTCTGAAACGTGCACACCTTTGATTGTATGCATGGCTGGCATGTCAGACCAAACTTTTCATATGCTCTGTGTATATCATTGTCTCCACTGCTGTGTCCTCTGCAATTCCACCATTCAGGGCACTTATCTGCATGCCCCATTAGTGCAGTCCTCCTTAAAATGTGCTTATTATTTAAAGCTTTTCAAAAGCTCAGCCTCTACACAGTACAAAACTTGATCTGAGCCTGCGTCCGCTCTTGTCACTCATGTACAGGTTCCATCTGTTCCTCTTTTCCTCTCTCGTTGCTGCTTGCCACATCCAGACCACATGCTGCTTATACATTGTACAATAGACATTTCTGCACACACACTTTTGAAAATGTGGCTCTCAGTGCTTTATTGTTCACATGTGTCTTGTTGCTTCAGGCAAGTTTTATCAGTAATAATTTTGTTGTTTACTGACACATAGAATAAAAGAGGGTACTGTTAAAATGTGACTGGAGGAGAGGAAAAGGACCTTTGATACACCAATTACACAAGTTCTGCCAGCTTTCTGATCATTATCCCTTGCCACCACTTCCCCAAATTCTGTAGTTGCCGAAGGATAAAGTAAGATCCTAACATCACCTACAGCAATGTAAGGGCTGCTCCACTCTGCATGAGGCTGCTCCATGTTGGTAGCGATTCACCAGCACCTCCTACACTCCTGTGTCTGGTGAGGAGAGAGGTTGGGACCTTTTAGCACTCCCTTCCAGCAAGGCAGCCCTAGCTTCTGCTTTAGATCTCCTTTACAGGTCCCCAGTGTCACCTTTGCAAAATGGTTGTATTCTTCCATTTGGGGGGAAAAGAATTCCCTACAGAAACTAGTTCTGGAAGTGGAATCAGTGCTAGGAAGGTCTAGGAAGACACTTCTCTTGCAGGAGCTGAGCTGAGCTCTAGCAGCTAATCCAGTGCGCAGACTGGAGCAAACTCAGAGGTATGCAATTACATGGGAATTAATGCATGCAGATTCCCTGAGAGCCATCTCAGGTCTTTCCCGTCACACCTTGCTCCATAGCTGTGGTGAGACTGGAGTATCTGCAAACAGATCACACTGGGCGCAACTCCCAGTAATGTTCGAGTGCCTGCAGCAGGGATGGCATAGAGCTCAGTACACTGGATTATTGCCACCCAGGGATTTCCCACATCAGGAAAATCCCTAGTTGCCCAAAACCTCTGGTTTCCCACCTGGAGAAGCCCAAGGCCTGCCTATGGTGATGATAATTTCTGTTACTAGGGAAACGTACAAATGATAGGAATAGACACAGTTTCTATCAGAGACTTGTTCTGATGAAAGCTTTCTCTGCTAAGGACAGTGTCTGCTTCTGACTCAGAGACAGTCTGCTGCTCCCTTCCCAAGCGGAGGGGCAAGCAGTCACACAGCTCCACTTGGATCCTGCATGTGCAACCAGACACTGTATGCTTGGCACTCAGTCTCCTGGGCATGGCAGAGGGCACACCCTCGAAGTGCTGGAGAGCTGATGGTGACACTCTCAGGTGGGAGCACTGCTGAAAAGAAGGCATGAGAACAGGAATATAAAGACCCTTCCGTTTCTGTCCATGGACTGCAGCGATAGCTCATAGGGTGCCTCATGACTCCTACACCCCTCTGTGACTCCCATTCTACCCAGTCCCCTCTGCAGGTCATCAAAAGTGGCAAGGTCTCTTCCCTCTGCCAAGAGGTGGGGAGGAGCCAGCTTTTGTTTGCACCAAAATACTCATAATTTTCACATACAATTCGCTGAATATTTTGTGTACCACCCTGTACCAAAGTTGAGGCCATTCACTGGCCAGAGGAGAAGCATGAAGGATACAAAAGAAAAGAATGAAGGAGAGCTCATGGTAAGCTCTTATAGATTAGAAAGGAGGCAGGTAGGAACAGAGATTAAGCAAGTGCCTTAAAGAGTTATTCAGGAGAAATAAGGGCTTTAAGTGATATTTGACTATGGGAAAGAAATCAGTATCTGTGGTTTCCACTGGTGTTTGGAGTGCTAAAAGCAGAAGTGGTTGCTGAAGTCTGAACAGGAATGTTAGGCTGAGCTCTCAGCTTCCTCCTAAATTGTATGATTTACTGTCTCACTTGAAGAAGAGGTCTTATTTTGTAGAATTTCAGGCTTTTTTGAAACAAATTGCTTTGCGAGCAGTGGAACTAATGGCTCTTGTTTTCCTGTGGGTCTGTGACCATGGCTTCATAGTCATCTCCCTTCTCTCCTCTCCTCCTAAAATAAAATGACTGCAACAAGCCTAACTCTTGCCTTGCTATATGCTCTAAGATCCTTTACTGGGCTGCAGGCAAGTACATATATGCTGTCTGACCAGCTAATGCATACGTGGCCAGCCAGCATGCACATACTCACTAACCAGGTGACTGCTGGCTGCAATTCTTTAACTGAGGTCTCTATCCCTCACCCAGCCGTCAGTTTGCACAAAATTTAGGAAAGAAATCAATAGCTTTTGAAACTTCTACCTTTCCCTTGTGAAATCAGGTAAAAATTATTGATGGAGCTGGACAGACAGATTGAATCTGAGCTAAAAAGGTTTTGTTGTATCAGCTTTGGATGTACATGTAGGACATTAGTCTAGGTTCTGGAATTCATTTGTGTCTCTCTCTTTTTCAGCTATTTTTAACCTGGATGTGTTCTGTGATTTGTTTCCCACACAGCATTGAAACTGGCACAGCTGAGGGGTGAGTGAGTGGTGGGAGAAGGGAAAGGGGAATCAAGGGATGCTTATGTTGGCACTGCTGCTGAAAGAAGTGCAGCATCAAACTATAGCCTCTCAGATCTGTATAATGTGGAATTCCACACCACCCCATGGAAAAATTGTGACTATAAATATATTCACATCTTAAAGTGCTCAGATATAGGGCAAAAAGAGATAGAAAAATCGAGACATATTGTAAAAACAGTCAGCAGAAACAGTGGCTAGTTTTGAAATGTAATGTTTTCTGTCATAGTTCAACATCTCAGTACTGCCCATATTCCTGTGTGAATATCTTTAGACGTCTCTTTGTACAGAATCTCATAAGAGAAATCCTGTTTGTAGTAGCTCAGTCTGTACAGACTGCATATCAACTCAGAAACCCTTTATCTTAGTTACTGTACATACAAACCTTGAGCTCCAAAGAACAGAGGTTTGATCTGGAAAATACATAGGAAAAAGCTTCTTGAGCATTAATTTACAAAACGAGACCTCTAATTGTGAAGCGTTTCTTCAGTCAACTATAGATTATTATAATGTGTGAGATCTGCTTTTTCACCCTGTGTTCTGTTTAACACTGTTTGTTAGACATGAAAGGAAAAGAGGATTAAAAGAGAGAGATGGTATTATAAACAACCCTTCAGGGGAGGTGGGAAAACAACAGTAACTCCCTCAGAAAGAACACAGGGATGCCCTTAGGAAAAGGTTTTCAAAGTGTCCTGCATTTGAAAGTTAATGAGGAAATTAATCTCAAATATTACTTTAAAGACTGACAGTGCCATCTTTAAGATCTCAAGCATGCACCACAACTGAGAAGAGACAAAGGGAATTTTTAATGGGCAATAAATGGACTAATATTTTTGGATGCAAAGCTACAGCCATGTTAGTTCTGATGGGATGTGGGTTTGTTCTGTACTTCCTGGCACTGTGACTTTATTGGGTTTTCTTGCTTTACACTGTCTTTTGATGAGGCACCGCTTTTTCCTTTAAAAAGTAAAAAAATGTGGTCTTAGTCAGTAATCCTCCTTTGAGTTACAGTAAGTCCATTGGGTATAGAGTTTGATGATGTGGGGATTGTGTAGGCATGTGCCAGACCATATCACAGCTATTCTGTGATGCCTCACTTCACACCTAGCTCAGGTGGCTTGGTCATTTCTGCCCCTGCAGTGTTGCAAGACCACCTTGTGTAGGTGCCTCCCACACAAGTGAGAGGCTGGCAGGCAGGCAGGCAGCAACACCCCTTTCCACCAGAAGATAACAGCACAGGCACTCCTAACCCTGCTGCAGGCATGCCCCTGTCATCTCCGGTGGATCCCAGCCAACGTCCTAGACTTGACAACTTTCTTCGGAGCAGTCTCAAGGTGTCCCATACTGCTGCACTTAAAATGACCAACCTTGGTTACCATGTTCCTGGATGTCAGGCATTTTGGAGGAAAGCTGGTCTTATCTAGAGCTTTTGTACAGCTCCTGTCACGGCCTCTTGACCCTTGGGGTCCTCTGCGCATAGCTGTCATGAGCCTTCAGTAGCTACAGTGGCTTCCACAAGCATGACTGTGCCTTTGTGGCCACAGAAGGAGCCGTAGCAGGAATTCCCAAAGGCAGGTCTTCCTTTCCTTCACCCAGAGCTACCTGCCTAGAATCATTCAAAACCCCACTGATGTCCTCCAAACCCTTTACCCACCCAGGGTTCCCAAAAACCAAACACCTGTTCCCAGCTGACTCTTACTTTTCCTTATACCTCAGAAATGCATGAGCCATTTCACAAACCTCCTTCCTATCCCCCATTTCTCCACAAACTCCTCTGCCATTAGCACAACATTGAGAAGACCTGCTTACACCAGCATATGTTGACAGCCAAAAAAAAAAGGAGAGAATCAGCTCCCTGAGTTTAGAGACAAGGACATGAGGAAGCACATGCCCAGCCTTGAGAAAGTGCATCAATAGCACTTCCACCCCGTAATCACAGCTGCTTTTTGGCTCACTAATCCTATTCCTAAGGATCAGCCACCACCTTCCAGTACTTTCTCAGTGGATAAAAAACACTTAGTTTAACTTTTCTGCTCAGCTGTTATGTACTACCTCTTTCAGAGCAACTAACATCCCAGTCTGCTCACACTTTCATGCCAGACCCTGCCTCTCAGAGCTATGGGTTGTACTGCTCCTTAAAAACCTCCCATCCTTCTTTCAGTGCTCAGCCTCTCTCCATGAGACATCCTGACCTAGTGCACCATCTGCCCTCTCTGCAGGAGAGGTGCCTGTGGCCTGCACAGATCATATGACTTGCGTCCTTGGAAGCTTGAATACTTCAATACTTGGACAGAGAGACAAGCTTGGCTCCTCTATGTCCTCTAGCTCCCTTCTCAGGGCATTTTTCAATACATTCCCAGTCTCCCCCCTCTCATTAACTTCTGGTTTAGTCTTGCTGGAGCTTATCCCTATCTAAATGACAGGCTACCAAACAGGCACATAAGCGTTCATTTGCTAGGTGTATGAATGAAGCCAGTTCTCCTGCCCCATCAATGAGGACACCATGTTGGATCAGCTCTGCTGTGACTTCTCTTTACCCTTTGGAAGTTATCACCAGCAAAAAATGCTAGCTTTATACTATTCAAAAGCAAGAATGCGCTTAGTCCATTTTTCATACACAGGTAGACACCTACCTGCGTACGTATGCAGACATATATGTATTGGCTCTACTGAGTCCCGTCCTGCTTCTGGCATCATTCTGAGCAACTGGAGCATGAAAATAGAGAAGCAAGAGAATGCTGAGCTGCTCTGTGTGTTTATGAGAGAGAGAGACTGCTTGCACCAGTGGCTGTGTTCTGGGCAGCCTCAGCCATGGGCACTTGGAGGACACAGCTAACTGGCACAAGGCTGTAGCCAAGATTGTTGTGACCCTCTGGAAAAACTCAGTAATTCAGCTTTCATCTGGCTGATAAAGTTGGTATTGTGAAGAAACCAGAAATACTAGTCCTGCTCAAGAGCTGTGCTGTGCCCCAGGCAAGAATACGAACACAGCCTTCTCCATCCAAATTATAGTGAAACAATCAGGTATTCTCAACGCAGCCCCAGGTGAAAAAGCCCTGCTCACTGGGGGTGCATGCAGTGTGTGGCTTCAAGGGCAATAATGTGAGACTGAGGACAGGTGGAGCAAGGGAACACAAACCTATCCTATAAAGGATTTTCTCCTGGTGCAGAACCAAAGAGGAGTGTCAGCACCATGCCTTCCTTAGGTGAAAGTCAGGTCATCTCGATGCCTCGTTGGATTTGACTCACCAAGAACAGCATCGAATTCAGCACAAGGTGAAGCACAGAGGAATTGCATGGGCAGGTGTATGCAGAGAAGCAGATGGAAAAGGTGGGTGATCCAATACTGTTATGACAAGCATTGAAGAAAGAGGAAGAGTTTGAAGAGGGCTAGAAAAAAACTCAAAATTCTCCTTACCATGCATGAGATCACATGTAGAGCAAGGTTAAGTCTTGGGCGTTTTAGTGGGAGGAGGAAGCCTCCCAAGCTAAAAACTGTTCCCATTTCCAGTTCTCATCCACTGCCAAAAGAATCATGGCAAGCATCAATATCAAGTGTGAAATACCATCCCTAGTAGATATCAATGTAGCGATCCTTAAATTCTAGAAAATGCCAAATTCCATCATAGCTCAGGGGATGTCCAGTTTCCCAGCTTGTTTCCTGCTCCTTCTGTGCCTTGACTTGTGCTACAGATGGATTTATTCTTCAGAAAAAGACACTTGGACTGAACAAAACAGTCCTGTTATCATTCCTGAAAAACCACACTCTGACATCCCTTTCCTCCAGTCCCCTCACTGCAAGTGTGGTGCCAGGCATAGGTCATCTCTCCAAGCGCAGGTGTCAAACTCAGACAAAAAGAAAAAAAGCTCAGGGACTCCAGTAAGTGTACCATCTGGATCTCCACTGACTGTAAAAGGCAAGCTACGTTCCAGGACTCCCTAAGACCTCCCAGAAACCTTGTGGATGCACAGTTGGACACCTAAAGCCAGACTTATAACGTGCTCCAGAAAAGTAACAGGTTTTGTGAGTGTCTCACGTCCTGCTATAGCAGGGACTGTTTGGCACATATTTGAGAGGGAACACATCTAGACCCCTAACTCTATTCCTGTCCAAAACTGGTGTGTATTTTAACTTGGACAGTGCCCAATCTGCAGAGTTAATGTTTTCCACATAAAAATGCCTGATTGGTAAACTTCCAAGAAGTTCTATTTTTGATTCAATGAAGAATGGCAGCTTTCCATGGAACTTACTTTCCTTTTTTCCTCCTTTCTTTCCCCACACCCCAAAATAAGATTCCTAAAAAATCCATAAATTTTCATTTGGAAATTCCTCATGGATGTCAGAGTTCAATTGTCCTGTTCTGCAGGAGGTGGGATAGTTTCTTTAGAAGTCCTTTTGTACCTTGAAAAAATACTGGGGTTGGAGGCAGGGGAGCATCCCATCTTTACCTTTTTGTTGAACTGTTTTTCCCTCCTCTTGAAAAGAGTGCAGAAGAGGGTCTGCTGTAGACTTCTGTAAACTCTCAGGGTTTTTAACACTGTGCTGCTGTTCCTGAGGCCGTATGGTCACTTGTGACCATGAAAGATGAGGGGCAGAATCACAGCTGTGGAGAAGCCACTGGGGTTCACCTCTCCATGATCAGAATACAAATCTGCTGATGTATGATTGCCTCCGAGTGGGAGATACACACAGATCGTAGAGAAAACCTCTTGTTCTCCTGCATCCAGGTTTACCCCCTTCTGCATACAACTTGTCCCACAGCCTTTGGACCATGTCCTAAATAGCTGAAATTTACAGTAGTATGCCATCTTCTTATCAGCTCCCATACTGTGATACATTTCTGTATTTGTTTTGTCCCATTCTATGTCTCCAGAGTTCTCAGCAAGCAAGAACTGAGCTCCTTCCAAGTTGTAAGGATGCTCACTTGTTCACTCCCTCACAACCAGAAATCACTTTGG